TCTCCCTTCCTCTCAAGGTTCTTTTGCTTCCGCTCACTTCTTCTACCTTCTCTCTCTCTCTCTCTCTCTCTCTCTCTCTCTATGGCTCTTTGCTGTGCGTATGTGTTTTTGTTTAGTTATTACTTGTTTTAGAAGTGTTTCTTCTCTGCCAATGGGATCACTTGGAGGGCAATCTAGCCTCAGACGGTTTTTTTTTTCTTGTTTAAAGAAAATAGTTCTTCACCTTGATGGGCTCCATTTTGCCAAATTTTGGTATATGCATTACTTTGTAGCTTGTTTTTCTTACACTAATCATGATACTTAGATGCGTTGGGTGGCTGCACTAAGTATAAAATATCAAAATGTGGTATGTGGCAATTTCTGAAGGCCTAGTTTTAATTTGGTCGATATAGACTTTTGTTCCTACAACTATTTTGTTTTGGTTTCAACTGTGTCCCAAGATCACCCTTTCTCTTGGCTATATGCTTATGCAACATCTCTTTCTTCCTTCCCCAACTGGAAAAACCAATTAAAACCCTTCAAGAAATTTTAGAATTAAGAAGTTTGTGTTTCATGTTTGGCTTGCTAGTGATATACAAATTGAATTGACATAAAAATTTGGACATTATTTGATGCAGGGAAGGGGAATTTCAATGAATTTAGGTACCCATTCATCAAGCGTGCAAGCACTTTCCCATCTGCCTCATCTTCTTCATCAAGTGGCCACAACAATGTCTATGACTACATAGTTGTGGGAGGAGGCACAGCTGGGTGCCCATTGGCTTCAACCCTCTCCCAGAAATTCAATGTCTTGGTGCTTGAAAGAGGGGGTGTGCCTTTTGCCAATTCCAATGTCTCATTTCTTCAAAACTTCCACATTGCTTTGGCAGACACTTCACCTACTTCTGTCTCCCAATACTTCATTTCAACAGATGGAGTCCTTAATTCTAGGGCTAGGGTTTTGGGTGGAGGCACTTGCATCAATGCTGGCTTCTATACTAGAGCAAGCACAAGGTATGGTGAATATAAATTTTTTCTTGCAATTAAGCCATTTTTGGGGAAAATGAAAACAAAAAGAAATGGGTTTATTTTGAAGGTTTAGGTTAAGTTCAAATAGGTGAAGGAGAGCAAGAAAAGGGTTCATGATTTATTATGATAGCTTAGTTTGGATGTATGATTTGGTGCCCAAAAAAAAGATTTAGCATCAAAACAAAATGGGGATAATTATATGGTTTTTATTTTTATTATTTATAAAAATAAATAAATAATAAAAAAAGAGTGCAAGACTAGCTAGTGTATAAATATCACATCATGGGCAAATAAATAGTCCTTTGCAATAGGTAAGCATTGATTTGGACAATGAATGCATGCCTTCCTTATGGTTGCTGCATTGCCATGTCAGAGTATTATTGCCTTCCACCCTACCACCTCACCAACCCATTATTGTTTTGTTTTTTTCCTTGTGCATTAATTTTTATAACAAAATAATTAAGTTTGAAAACATTAAGACCTATGTCCTACTTAAATTAATTATAATCCACATTTAGGGAA